ATCTGTAATCCCAGAATCCTGGGGGAGGAAATGGAGGGAGGAGGATCACTAGTGAATCATTCCAGATTCACTAAGAGACTCTATATCAAGGGAATAAAGTGGAGAGTGATAGAAAAGGGCATCCTTTAGTTTCCACATGAATGTATAGGCACACTTATATACATATATGCTCATTTATTACACAGAGATACACTATACTTATATACATATATAGACACATACAAAAAGTTAAATCATGGGCTGGAGTGGCATTTGGAGCATTAATTTTTCTGTATTCATGCCTGCCAGCAGGGAAGAAGAGAAGAGTGTACCTCTTCATGTCAAAGACATGTACACTGTTGCTTAAATCAATTAGCCAAATCTTAGTAAGTGGTAAGCTACTTAATGTACTAACTTAAATATGTGGTCACATTTATTATACAATCACATTGAGGCAAGAAATTAGGTATTCTATTATTACAAAAGAGAACTGGACTATACCCAGCCATGCCTTGTATTCTATGCTTATCAATTACCTTCCTTAATTTCTTTGTCTCTTTGTTCTCTTTTTAAAATTCTCCTTTTCTTTGTGTGTTTATGTATATTTGGTGTGTTTGGGCACATGTGTTTGGATACACATGTAGTGTCCATGAATGTGGATGCCAGAGGTTAACGTTGGGTTAATTAATCACTATTACTCCTCAATTAACATTTACTTTAACCCTAGCCAGCTTGCCCCAAGAATATTCTAGCTCTTCCTCCTGTGCTCTGGGAATATAGGAGGGTCACCATGCCTGTAAGCTTTTATATAGGTGCTGAGGATCAGAACTCTAGTCCTACTTGCAGTGCTAATGATAGGATTGCAAGTATGCACTTTTGTGTTCAGTTCAACTTCTGGATTTTTGACTCAGCTGTTTAAAACAGAAATGTACTCAAAATAATCTGTATATTCTGTGATTTGTAGTACATATATTACTTTAGCTGATATATAGTTTTGATCATCAAAGTGGTCCTTAAAATGATATTTATGAAAACTTAGAAACATTTTTCTCAGATCAAGAGAATCAAGGCTGACCATTGGACAGATTCAAAGAGAATAATCGATAATAGCCCGATTTGTTTTAAAAGAAAGAGTAATGTTATATTGTGTACTGAAGTGGTCTATAAATTCTTTTGTTGTTGTTGTTGTTGTTGTTATTGGTTTTTAGCAAAAATAGGATAGGTTTATTATAGAAGAAAGAATTAACGAAATAGGAGACTGTCTTTTGAGTAAATACATGCAGATGAGAACTTTGAATTGTTGGTAGTTGTAGTGCATGCCCATAATTACTGCCTCAGTGTGGGCTGTATAGTGAGTGAGTTTCAGGCCAACTTGAGCAAGACCCCACCTCAAAAAAAAAAACAAAATTACCAACCAGCCAACCAACCAACCAAACAACCAACCAAACAACCAACCAACCAAACAACAAAAAAAACAGAAAATGTGGGGGCTAGAAAGATTGTTCAGCAGTTAACAGCATTTGTTGTTTTTGCAGAGGACCTGGGTTTGGCTCCTAGCACCCATGTGGTGGCTCACAATCATTCCAAACTCCAGTTCTAAGGCATTCATAACTCTTTTATGACTTCTGGTGGCATCAGGCACACACACAGTGTACATACACACATGCAGGCAGAACACTCATACACATAAAACTGTTTAAAAACAAAACAACTTTACATATAGCTTCAGTATGGCACAGAAATCCAACTGTGACAGAAAGGCGGGTTTTTTTGTTTGTTTTTGTTTTGATTTGTTTTGTTTTTGTTTTTAAATAAAAACTGCTGAGAAAGATCCGGCATGGAAACAGAACCTAATAGAAGAATTTTGGAAATGTGTAGAAACATACAAGAACCTCTTGCAAGGCATTGGTGGCACACACCTGTAACTCTAGCACTCAGGAGGCAGAGGTAACTAGATCTCTGAGTTTGAGGTCAGCCAAGTCTACACAGCAAGTTCGAGGATAGCCAGAAATACACAGAGAAAAACCTGTCTTGAAAAAAACAGAAGAACAAAACAAGAAGAAGAAGGAAAAAAAAACTTTTTATCTCTTCTGTGGCCGGAACAGGAATCTTAAGGACATCTGAAATGGGTGGAAACACAGCCAGGTGCTTTTGGCAAAATCACAGTGATGATTATGAGATTATGTTGAAGTCCTTTTGACAAGTGTCACCCATTTAGGAAGAAGTTGAGGAGTGGAATAGATGAAGAAGTTGTTCAAAAAGCACGTGGAAAGAGACTTTGCCTGAGACAGGAACAAAGCACTTTTACTGTGAGCCTGGATCCAAGTCTCTGGAGCAGTTTTCCCTTCCATGAAGTCATAGCTGAGGCAACTGGGCTTGTCCATTGCTCTCAAGAAGGATATGGTGAGCCTGCTATCCAACTAAAAAGTATACAAGTAGGGTGATATAGACTCCAGAAAAGGCCCATGTCCTCCTAATGCCTTTTGGTTAGGAGGTGACTTATTCAAAGTGACCATCAAATACATACAGGATATGCAGTCAGATAAATCATGACCTGCTATGGAGTACACCTGAGTCTAAAGAAAAGCCAAAAGAAGACAGTGATGACTGACTTGGAGACTCAGGACTGAGGTCTACCCATTTCAGTCTCGTCACTGGACCATATAGGACTGCTCCCACCCCTCTCTAGGAAGCAATTATGTACTTTGCTGCATATGAAGACAAGAGAGGGTGATGGGAAATGACTGCTTCTATAAAGAATAACATTTTGTTTATAGAATGTGTCCTTGCAGACAGCAAGAGAAGAAATTTTTTTTTGATGAGATTTACAGGCAAAATAAACAAGATAGAGAATTGCAATTCCATATTTATAACTTTATCATACTGTACCCCATAAATATGTACAATTATTATATTTTGATAAAAAGATAAACAAAACAAAAAGACAATCCTAACTTACATTGAGTCCTTGGAGAATATAGTACCTTTCTAGTAGGGAAGTGGTAAGGATGTGTCTATGGCTAAGAAATAACCCAGCAATCACAGAGAACCTGCTGGCCACTCTTTTTGGAGATGCAACGCTTTTTCCGCACCTAGAAGCTGGAGATAGTGGTTTCTATATCAAGGCTGTTATGATGTATCCAACATGCTTTGAAGAATGCATGACTAACAATCTCAAGAACTTTGCTCTTATTCACAGGGTACTTTTTTTTTTTGCTTAGTAGAATATCATAAATACCTTCTAAAAGAAATTACAGACTCATTTCCTTTACTGAAGAATCCATATAGTGAGGCCTACATAGAATTATCTGGAAGAAATACACTAGTATTTCAACCTTCCCAATGCTATGACCCTTTAATTAAGTACCTCATGTTGTTGTGACCCCCAACTATTAAATTATTTTTGTTGCTTCTTCATAACTACAATTTTTCTGCTGTTATGACTTGTAATGTAAATGTCTGATATGGGACCCTTGTGAAAGAATCGTTCAAGCCCTGAAGGGGTTTCAACCCACAGGTTGAGAACCACTGGCCTAGAGGTCTACTGAACACATGCAGGTGTTGTGTAGCAATTTCCTCCCAGATAGAACAGTTCATCTTAACAAAAGTTCAACATACAGGATGTTCTAAAGAGAAGTAAAACATTCCACCCTTCTAGAAAGCTCTTAAACCCAAGAAGTAGACAACTCAAAGGCTTCTGTAAATTCATGAAACTACCCAGATTCACTCCTTCCCCAAGAATTTATAATCAGTAAAGGTGGCCCAAGAGTTGGGACAGACAGGCTTAGTTGCCTAGGAGAGACACAGGTTTCAATAAAACCCGTTGATTCACCAAGTTGGACCTTGGTGGTAGCCTTACTGGGGTGAGTAGATGTTTGTTCACATCGCTCCAGTAATAATGTTACACAGTAAGGTAGTAGTTCTGAAGAGACAAAGCTCCTGTGATGTGCACAGAAGTTTAGGTTGAAGAACAGCAAAGTTCTTTGGTAGAGGTTAGGTGGACTAGACCAAATTAGACAGAGGCTGAGAAAGGAGAAAGGACTCCCAAGGTATATCTAGCAAGCTTTTGAAAAGCAGAATTCTTTCATGTACTGAACAAGCTGAGACCCCATAGCACTAGCTCTGTTTGTTTTCTGTGGGTCCACTGCACTCCAGTGGGTTTCAAATTCCCACCTCTGCAAAGTTAGCCTGTTGGAGGCCTTCTTGGTGTTCTTATCCCTCAGATATCACCCTTTCCAACACTCCTGCCCTTCTTCAGCTGCCCTGGCTTCCTCAGACTAGCGTCTCTTCTCAGCTGCGTTTCCTCCCCCCACTCCCCATTCCCCAGCCTTCTTCAACTCTTTGGCCTCCGCTTCTCTTTAAGATACCCCTTTGCCTCAGCCTTCATTCCGCCTTAACGCGGTTCCCCCTCCTCAGCCCTTCGTAGTCTCCCATTATTCCTCAGCTAGTTCTGGGTCCCTCTGCCCTCATCCCTCTTCAGCTGTCCATGCTGCGCTGCGCTGCGCTGCGAGGCGCGGTGGGGTTTTGGATTTGCTCCTCCCCTTCCCTACCTCCCTGCATTCTGAGTGGCGGAGAGGAAGAGGACCAGTTGGAGTCCGCATCCCTGTGCACTGGCTGCCGCAGGGCCCAGCAAGCAGGTGGAGCTCAGCTTCCCACGGAGCATTGGGCGGTGGACCGCAGTGACGCGGCCTGAGACATGGCGGCCACGCGCCTCTGAGGCCGCAGAATCGGAGCCTCCAGCTGCGGGAGCTGAGCCTTGACCATGCAGCTTGGTTGCTGACTGCCCGGGCGTGTGGCCCGGAGGATCCCGGCTGCGGTCATCACCTTGCAGTCTCTATGCTGCAGCGTGTATTCCTCCCAGATTCCATGTATTCCTCCTCAGTGCTTCCGGCCGTGTAGCAGCCGCTGCCGGCCGGGCCTCAGGGCGCTCTGCCTATTCATCAGTCACTTTTCCATTTTTATTTCCATTCCTATTTGCTTCTCCTTTCCCCTTCTGCTTTGCGTCTATCTCCGCCACCCCGCTATGGCCGCAGAAGAGGCTCTGAAGACGGTAGACCAATATAAGACTGAAATAGAGAGACTGACCAAGGAGCTCACAGAAACGACCCATGAGAAGATCCAGGCTGCGGAGTATGGGCTGGTGGTGCTGGAGGAGAAACTGACTCTCAAGCAACAGTATGACGAGCTGGAGGCTGAATATGACGGCCTCAAACAAGAGCTGGAGCAGCTCAAAGAGGTGAGCTATCCGTCTCTTATTTCCCTTTCCAGGTTTGGCATTTCTCAGTGCCAGTCATTACTGTAAAGAAGTCAGAAGGGATATGGCCAGAAGGACTTTGTCTTAGAGCCCTTTGTTGATAAGAGAACATTGAAAGAGTCCATTGTTTTCACCAATAGAGAAATCACCCAAGAAATGAATGCATAAGCTGGAATGGGAAGCTCTTTATCATGTGGGGGAGGGAGAGTCACAAGAAGTCTACTGGCATCAGTGCTGGCAGGTAACATTGAACTGGGTTGAAATGCATAAATCAAACTTCTCAAACTGCTGTTATTTCAAACCCAGATATCAATGACCATTGCATAATCCATCCAATTGTTGAGGAGGTTTGTGCCTGAGGACCTACAATTTCAGGATGGTAGAATTTGGTACCTCAGTTGTCTGCTGAGTAATTGCTCCTTGGTGAAATAGGAACTAGTTATTAAGACTCACCAATCCCGTTTGACGTAGACTTTAGTCCTTGTCATGGGGCTGTAGGAGCAAAACAACTTTGCTAGGTGGTTTTGCTGCCCTTAATTTCACCTCTGAGCAAGGCTGGACTATGCTTACGTCTTATAGAAGGCACCCTGAGACTGAGGAAAATTAAATTCACCCCCATATGGTGAGAAATGAGAAAGAAATGTAAAATATATGGATATCTGTGCCTTGCCTATCAAATATGGCCCTTCAAGTGGAAATTACTGTATTTATAAAACCAGAATATTACCAATGTTCTGTGAATAACATTTTCCCCCTATTTTTGTTTCCTTCTTCTAAGGGTAATGTAATAAAAGACAATAGTGGATGTGTATATATGTCCAACCAAATACTCATAAGGATTATACATACTATTTAAGGCACTGGGAGTAGTAAGCAATCATGTATAAATGTTAGTATACATAAACACTGCTTTTCTGTGTGACAAGTCTTTATTTTTAGGTGCATGCTAACATTTTAAATGTTAGGCATATCATACATAAATAGAAATACTTTTCCGATAATCTAGGTTTATTTTAGGGAAAGGGAAGGTCCAGTTTTGTATTGTCACAATTAAAAAACATGAGTTATGACAACCCATCTTCTAACTCATAAATAATACAGATTTATACCTTCAATTATGCTATTTTATTTAGATGCTTAAATACCAAAAAAAATGTAAATAGATATAGTTGAAAAACATAGTTAGAGATATAATTTTTACATATAGAGCTATAAATTCTAGTTCTAGTTTTTCTTGTTATATTCATATCTGGCTTTAATGGTGTCTGTATTTATATTTTCTAAATATGTCTTAGATTATGTCTTAGACTGACATGTTTAAATGTAGTGGTGCTAAATATTAGGAAGCAAGGAAATAGATGATTATTATAATTCCCAGATATGTTTCCATGATGTCTTTATTTATTGACTGTGCTTTGCCAAGGTGGAGAAATGCAAACCAATGTTAAGTCATCACTTTCTTGATAAAAGAGGTGGACTTATTTGATGATATAAAATATAATTGTCAATAGACCTTTCTTCTTGAGCTAAACAACACTTTTAGGAATATTTATGTGTTATATTCAACACACTAAACCTTAATACAGTTGTCTTTTTTCTTTAGTAGACAATAAATTCTTAAAAGAATGAATTTGTCTTTTATTTATTTAAAGTTGATAGATAAAAATGTATGTATTTATTATGTGTCGAATTATGTTTTGCAGTATACATATGTTATGTTTTTTTGAGCTAATACACTGCTTCATATAATTATCTTTTTCTGTGATAACCCAACATTCATTCTGTATTTTTAAAGAGTAAATATACTGGCATTTAGTCATCATGCTGCACAGTGAATTTCTTAAACTTATTCTTCTTATCTAACTGTAATAATGAATCTTCTCATCAATATTTTTCCTTTTAAGCAGTCAACACCTTTAATAACTACCATTTACATCTCTGTTTCCTTATAAGAATGGGATAATGAAATGTTTGTTTTTATATGCCTGGCTTATTTAATTTAATATAATACAAAGTCTTTAACACAGAGCTTAGCACATAGTAAGAATAAAAATAAATATTTTATAAAATAAATTTATATTTGAAGAATTTACACCTTTATCAAGTGTTCAAAAGTCAATATTGCTTGGTGTCAGAGAAAGACTGAGAAAATTGAAGAGTGTAGAAAATGACCACTCATTTTAGTCTCATTGGCAGTAAAGAGAAAAGGGGGAATATGTTTTATAAGAATGATGGAAGAAATTTCTTAACAGAATAATACAAATACCAATTATATTTTTTAAAATAAAAGATTTAAGAAATTTTGTTCTATAGCAAGAAAAATTATAAGGATTTTTTTTGTCAGATGATACTTCCTATTATGCATATTTTGACTTACATTTAGCATAAAGAAAACTCAAATGACAATACTTAGTAAACAGAATTTTAGCTATACAAAACTGTATTTTAAGGTAGTGAAATCGCTATATGCTATTATTAGATAATAATACTTGTTTTATCTTTTAATTTATGTTTTATTTTAGTTGAAATTATTACTTAAATGAATTGAATCGCCGGGCGGTGGTGGCGCATGCCTTTAATCCCAGCACTTGGGAGGCAGAGACAGGTGGATTTCTGAGTTCGAGGCCAGCCTGGTCTACAGAGTGAGTTCCAGGACAGCCAGGGCTGCACAGAGAAACCCTGTCTCAAAAAACAAAACAAAACAAACAAACAAACAAACAAAAGAATTGAATCAGTCTTAAATACAAAACAATTGTGGAAAACAATGTATTCTAATGATGATGTCACATACAAGTTATTTGTATATTTGTGTGTGTGTGTGTATGTGTGGTGCATGTGTGTAGGTCAGAGGACATCCAAATATTATTCTTTAGACAACTTGTTTTTTGAGACACTGGCCTGAAACTTACTAAGTATGCCAGGTTGATTGGTCAGTGAATCCTCGGGATCCACCTGTATCTGCTTCCCCAGTAGTGAGGTTACAAGTGTGCACCATCATGCTATGCTTTTTAAAGCATCAAATTTAGGTCCCAATGCTTGTACAACAGAAATTTTTACCAAATAAGCCATTTCTCATCCCTGGAAGCCATTGCTTTAAAACATTCTGGGGGAAAGGGGCAAGATGGCTCAGAGGTTAAGGGTTTTTGTTGCCAAGCTTGATGAACCTGAGTTCACCCTGTTTCTACATGGTGGAGAAAGAGAGCCTACTTTTGCAAGTTGTTTTCCTATCTCACATGAGTGCAACACACACACATACACACACACACACACACACACACACACACACACACGATGTAATTAAAAATTTCGCAGTAACAGAAAGTAAATTAGGCCAAAAACATAGTACATTTTCTTTTAAGTGTTCTCACTTTCAGACTATCATTGCTCCTTTGGTAAATACTCTATACTTACTTTAAGTGTCTTTGAACTTATGAATCTATATGTAGGATTTTCTTTTTGTTCTTTGTTTTTATAAAATCAGGTGTGAAGAATATGGTACTAATTAGGGAGGATTGATAAGGTGACTCAAATTCTGTCCTGATAGTTTGGAAGGTCATGAGAGAGGAAAAATGAGTAGTTGTGTATGGAAGAGACTGAGATTTGCTTTGATGACTATAGCAGCCTTGAGTGTTGATATCAAGGGAATAGAAGGATGGTTTTGTTGGTGAATTATTGGTGATTTTGCTTCCTTGTCTCATTGGCTGGTGATGGGAATATGTGCATCAGCATAATTCCTGGCTGTTTTCCACAGCTAGAGGCTCCAGTCCTGCAGTGTGACCACATCCTGCCCACTCTAGATCTTGGTGTGAAGCCAGGATGATTCAGGCAGTTGGACATTATTAGTACATTACTCCTTATTTCTTCTCTGACAGTTGAATTTTGATGTAGACAACTATTATCTCAGCACTTGAGATCTTGTACAGCATCTCATAAGAGATAGAGAGAAAAGAGTAGAAACATGAATATATCAGCAAATATCTTAATTATTAAAATGGAAGGGAGAGAAAGAATGGCTATTTGTGTTGCAGGAAATATTTTAAAAGTGGCACCATCCGGCGCTATACTCAGCTACTTTCTGCCTTGGCAGTCTCACTGCCTCTGCCTCTAGGCTAGCCCCTGATGGCAGTCTTACCAGCTTCAGTTTGCCTGCCTCAGAGCTGCTTGTCTCTTCTCAACCATCTACCCGCTGTGGGTAGTTGTCACAATCCCCTTAGCCCAGTAAATCAAAACTCTAGAAGCTTATAATTAGTCAGATTTATATATCAATAAATTCTCGATTCACAAGATGCCCACAATAATTTCAGAGTCAATTGATAATGATACAAGCTGTCCACCTAGATTAGACAAGTTATCCCAATTATTCTATCCTTTATGATATTCATAGCTACTTGTGGCTATTTAAAGCCACGCGGAATCTGGATCATCTTCCTCTTGCTCCATCTTCCTTCTCCCTCTTTTCCTTCTCCCCCAAACTTTTCAGCTCCATCTTCCCTTCCACTGCCCGATCGCTGGCTCTAGCCTTTATTTTACAAGTTAAGGTGAGGAGAAGGTTTGCAGGAAGTCACCTGTGTACGTGATTCTTTCCTCATCCATAGCCCCTCCTGGGAAAGGAGAATTGGCATCAAAATACAAATAATACCAGGACTATCACAACATATTGGTGTCTTTTCCTCCTGGAATCTAATCACTTTGGCTATAAAATCCAGTGATTGAATAATCTCAAAGTATTTATTATGTAATATACCTGGCCCACTGTGTTTTAGAGCTACTTAGTTGCTTATTTGTCTACCTACCTTTTCCTTTTCAAATTTCTTCTGCTTTTTCTAAAATATAAAACAATCCTGCTTGGTTGCATTAACTTTCACTCAGCCCTTTTGTATATTTTCTTTCAGTTCTGCCCATTCAGTTTTAGCCATAATATTTCACTGTTTGATAACCTTTTCTAAAGTAATTAGTAGTTCTCATATGGACACCTGGCCCAT